AAATTCCCAGTAGCTGGGTCTTTGGTTCTCAAATTATGAATAAAATTATTTAGCCTTTGTTTGCACCGGTGCGTCAGCATTTTGCCATCATCACGACTGTCTCTAACGATATAAAAACTCACGAGTAACCGGAGCAACTTAGGCCCTACAATAGAACTAGAGGAAAGCCAATTTAAGACGGATATGCTTGAGGCAGAAGTTCCTTTACTAGCCAAAATTATGGACTCCCGATTGCTATCTCTAGAAAGCACAAGAATCGAACTATTAGAAGTGCTAAAGCCAATATAGGCAAACACGCTTAGATCAAGAGATGAATTAGTTAGAATTTTCATGACAAAGTATCTTGTTTTCGCTTCTATCATACGGGAGTTAGGCGCTTGCTAGTGTTACAAATCCACTTTTCACTTTTATTTGATGGCATGAAATGAAATTTGTCAGAAATATTATTTCATTTCGCCTTTGTTTCAAAATGCGCTTGATATAAACAAAAGATATAAAAGGTAAGGCATGTAAGATGACGCGGCTCACAACTTTTTCCAGTTGATTTAATAGACCTGATGACCAGTGACACCACTGGAACAACGCACACCGCTATGAGAATCTATCTGTGAGAGATTTCCAAACCCTGGCTAGATAATTCCCCATCAACCTTCACTTTAGATTTTGGACACATTATGACTTGAAATGGAGGCGTTGCGACAATTTCCATGGGTTTTTGATGGAGTACAGTTTACTCCTCTTTAGTTCAAAAGCAACTCTTGAGAAATTTAGGATATAATGACGTGCGAACATTTTAGTTGCTCAAGGAAACTCAGACAAAGCGAAATGCCTCAACCTTTGCGTGTCATACACAACAATCACCCAGAACCACCAATAACGTAATACGCGACTATGAAAAATCAATAGTTGAGCTCTGCGGAAGCCGTTTTAGGATTACCTAGCTTGAACGGATCTGTGTGCCTTTTTTGCATAATTTCAGGAAGCATAATTTCATGCTCACTTAACTGACTACTGGATATAAGGTTCACTTGGGAAATATATTTCAAGATGACCAAATTGCTGTTTAAGAGGTCATGTGCCTTGATATTTTGGTCCGGTCATCCAAACCAGATATATTCAGCTGTGATTGTTTATCAAGACCCCACTCATATCCGTGATTG